GCTCTTTACATTTTTGTAACTTCAAAATATCCCTATATATATAGCTAAGGACTATTTTATTTAATTTTATTTATTATTATTATTATTTTAATTTGGCCTGAGAGAGACAGGAAGAGAGAGGGAAAGTGAGAAACAAGCTGGCAGGTCTGGGACTTGAACTACTTTCGGCTCTATCGGAGTCCAGTGCCCTTTACCACCATGCCACCTGCAGGCTCCTTCAAGATACCTTTTAAAATCCTGCAAAGTAAGTTTCACCTCATCATTCTTTCGCAGAAAATATTCCGATATAGAATTTTCATGTTCATTCTTCCAAAGAAAGTAGGAATTATTTTTCCAAAGTCCCTCTGTTCCAAAATTGTCTTAGGATTTTATTTGGTATTGTGTTTTATTAACATAGTATATAGTAGAAAATTGATAGTTTTTCTTTTCTTTTTCTTTTCTTTTTTTAAAAAAGTTTTTGCCATAAGGCACTTGCACTCACCAGAGAGAGACAGAGACAGTGAGAGGGAAAGCGAGAAATCACCCCCAGGGAGGATGGTCATGACACAGTCCCTTGTCCTCCATTCTCTTCTTGGGATTTTAGGCCCGCATACACATGTGCCTGGCGTGAGTTTCAAGACACCAAGCCCGGAACTTGAACTGTAGTCAACTATGTGGGAATCCAGTGCTTCACCTGTTATGTTATGCCACCTGTCCTTTTCTTATTTTTAGTAGGTTTTTTAATTTTTTTCTTTTTGCTTGAGAGTGTGTGTGCATATGCATAAGAGGGAGAAAGAGAGAAAGCAAGAGTCCCTAAATGGGGCTTGTCATACTGCAGTTCTTTCTCCTCCTTTTTCCACCCTGTAGGATTTTGAGCATGCATGCACAGGGATTCAAACTACAGTCAGACATGTAGGATCCAACTTTTTTTTTTTTTAAGAGAGTTTTTGCTATAGGATGTTTGTGCTCACCAGAGAGAGACAGAGAGACAGAAAGCAAGAAAGAACCTCCTGAGGGTATAGCCACACTGCGATCTCTTCTCCTCTCCGGATTTTGGGCACGCATGTACACATACTTGTTCCTCTCCGGATTTTGGGCACACATGTACACATACCTGCTGTGAGTTTTAAGCCGCCAGATCTAGGACTTGAACTATGATCAGCTGGGTGGGAATCCAGTGGTAACTACTGCGCCATGCACCGTTTTAAGCCGCCAGATCTAGGACTTGAACTACGGTCAGCTGGGTTGGAATCCAGTGGTAACTTTGCGCCATGCACTGGTCCCTAGGATCAGACTTTGTGTGCACAACACTTAACCGCTGCTCTATGGGCCTGGCCCATGTTTTCAATTTCGAGTCTTTTAACCCAGAAACATAAATAATGTATATTTATACCCAGAATTACAGATAATGTATATTTATTAAGTCTTTTAATGTCTCCATAAAGTTCCTACTATTACACATATATGTGCACGTCTTCATTTTTATATTAAGAATAAATTGTCATTGCTGTTGTAGAATTTGTATTTTTGTTATGGAAAGTTATGCTGAAGGAAAGCTAGAATTATTCCTATTTGTGTTTTGGAAAATCACTAGTAAATTTAAACTCAGACTCATTATAGGTTACTTTGCAAAGCACTTCAATAGTTTTTCTAATATTCATACTCATGGGAACTGAAAGAACAATTTCACATTAATCTATAGTTACTTATTGTAGAATATAATTGTTAATTCATAAATGTATGATGGACATCCACTTCTAAGATCATACAGTACCTTAATATTTAAACTTTAAACCTTACCAAACATTAGTGGCATCCCACACTACCCTTAAGAGAAAATAAATCTATATATACAAATTAATTATCTATAAAATAAAGCCTCCACATACATATATTTTCAATAAAGCAACACCAATGCTAAAGTAAATTGAGATTGAATAGCTTTAGATTTTCCAAAGCTCTCACTAAATGTGAGCAGTATGTACTGCAATAAGATGAATACTGAATATTCGCTCTAGAAAATGTAGCCACATTTAATACATAACTCTTAAAAGTACCACCTCTAATTCACTTTCCAAATGAGTTTAACATTGTTGTAGAATATTATTAATGTTACGAAACCTTTACAGTTTACCCTCCCCAAAACATTTCTAAACAAGTTGCCATTTTTTTTTTTTACAGTGCACCTAAATTTTGCATGCATTGTTTTAAATCCCTGAATTTAGTTAGCAAACTTCTCTTCTTATTGCTAATGTTTCACCTTTGGAAGAAATATATGACCTGTATTCAGCAAGTTGGTAAACTGAGATAGGGGAAGGTAAGGATTTGTATTATTAAGTGTTTGGTCATTGCCTTAGTTCAGGTCCTTTAGACCTCAGACTTCTACAATTTCAAATCTCCTTACCTCCCTGTCATCTCTTCAAATCATCAGTTTGGCCTTTGCTGCAGTGACCTCCTTGGAGACAAATCAGAGCATATTCTTCTTACTCAAGGTTTCAGAGAGAAGGGACAAAATCCAGAGCTCACGGAGTGAGCTTACAGTGTGTGAATTTCCCTTCAGAGTTCCGAGGTCAGCCCCGTTAGTCAAACCTCTCTCTCTCTCCCCTCCTGTTTTCCTCTTGTGTCCACATTGTTCTCTCCTCTTCTCTACCTTTCTGAAATCCTACCTTGAACTCTCAGCAGAGGCTCAAATGATAGCATTTTCGTTAGTATTATTATTATTTAACTTTCGGTCACATTTCGTTAGTATCATTATTATTTAATTTATTGCCGCAGTGCCTGTGCGCTTAAGGCAATTGGTAGAGAGGAAAGGGAGAAAGCAACCCTATGAGAGATGGTCTTGCCACAATTCCTTCTCCTCCACTCTCCTTTTGGGATTTTGGGCATGTTCACACACTGCCTGGTGTGTTCTTCAAGCAGCTGGATCTGGACTTGAACCATACAATTAGCCCAGCTGCTTCAACCACCGTCTCACCAGTTTGCTTGATAACTGTTATGTTTTTCTCAATTTTGCTCATCTGAAATAAACACTTCTTTTTTTATGTTTTCTTTGTGCCTCTCTTAAAGTTTAGTCATTTTTAGTGCATATGTTTTCAGAATCTTTCTGTTTAATAGGCACCTTGATGGCAGGTCAAATGTCTTGTTTATCTTTGTTTGCCTCCAAGGCATTCAGAATTTACACAGAACAGTTTGTAGAACTGAGTGGCGGTGTCTAATGCTAAGATTCACTCGCAATGTTGACATTAGCAATAGGACACTTATATTAAAACAGAATATGTACAGATAAAGTTGGATACTTAAACTGCTTTATGTGGGGGAACGGTGAAACTGATTTTTTAAAAACCATATTTCACAGATACTGATTTGTTCTCCTCTCTCTATGATCCTTCGGTTGACCACAGAACATGTTCTTTCTCTCCCTCCCTCCCTTTCTTCCTGAGAGAGAGAGGAAACATGCCTTCATGGGGCCTTGTCATGACACAAGTCTTTCTCCTCCAGTTCTCCATCCGTCAAGATCTTGAGCACACATGTGTTCTGTTTGTTTGTTTGTTTCCCAAGCAGATGAGGTGAAGATGTGAACTGTTGCTGGTCACGTGGGATGTTGTTTTCTCTGGCAACACCTAACTTTAGTGCTCCAGGTCTAGTCCTAAATGTTTCTTGAAAAAAATATGTAAGGTAAAAAGAAAAATCCCTGGTTTTCATTCAAGTGGAATAGGATACATTAAGTAATTACTGTTATTTTGTAGATACCATTTTCAGTAGGTCTGAGTATGACTGTTATTTTATTTTTAAATAGTTTACTCTTAATGACAGCCTGCTTACTTAAACATTAATAGTTTAGCTATTTTAAGGAGAGAGGGTTTAAATAGAACGAAGACATTAATCAAGACTATTTTTGTGAGTGATTGTAATGGGAGTTTGTTAATGGTTTCATTGAATAATTTTACTCTTGCGTTCTTTTGTAAGAGGAACCTCATGTACTCTTTTTTTGAATCAAATCATCGTGGCTATCTTTTCAGAGATTTGGACTAGGCTCCAGGTCTTGTTATCATTAGGGGGAATAATTTTGCTAGCATTTTCTAGGGGGCAGTAACATAATTCGGTTGGTAAAGTCCTTTCAGTTATAAGAAAGAGGCAATTCTGCAGGATAGGATACGGCTTAGCACTCATCACATTAAACTAACTCCGAATGAGGATATACCCTTGGAAGGACTGTGAACCTGAATCCCATCTACTTCAAGTGAGCGCACAGGAGCAAAAGCATGCTGGAGAGTGTGGAACTTCTGGGCATGGCTCCATTTATTTTGATACAGTAGAAGAGGAAATGATAAGAGAAATCTGTGATGGACCAATGGGAAGGGAAAATTCCAACTGCTTTCACGTTAGTGGACACAGAAGGTTTTGCCTTTTTTCCAGTATAATTTAGTTTGAACTTCTGCCTGAGCTCTGTATGCTTCAGATGGAAAAGTGGCAAAACTTAAAAGGCAGGTAACAACGGGTCATGATCAATATCCTCTGTATTCCTAAGGTAAAAAGCGTCTTAAAAGTACTTGTATTTCCCCTACAAGTGTAGTTCGATTGTAGTAACTGCTTTGAATTGTTTGAATAATTACAAAATGAATTAAGGATGAATTACACCTACTTTTCTATGCTGGTGAAAGACAGAATGTCTGGCTTGTATACTGCCAAAACATCACTTTCCCAGACAAGACAGAATAAGGTGGGAAGTGTACATTGGAAGTCAGACTTGAGTTCCAAGTGTTCCTCTGTCCCTTAAAAATTGGGAGGCCAGCAGGTGGTGAGGTGGTTAAGGCACTGAACTCCCACATGGCGGACCACATTCAAGTCCTGGACCTGGTGCCTTAAAAATCCTGCTAGGTGCGTGTGCGTGCGTGTCCAAAATCCTTAGAGTAGAATGGATTGCTTTGTGGCCATTCCCCCTGGGGGATGATTTCTCAATTTCTCTCTCTCTGTCTCTCTCCAGGCAAATGCATTCACCCTAAAAGATAAAAATTGGGAGGCCTTGGCAAGATCGCTTCACCTATACCTCAGTTTCTTCTTCTGTAAAATCAGGTTAGTGCGTACTTCAGAGTTGTATAGACAAGAAATACTATGTATCTGGTCCAGCTAGTGGCATGGTGGTTAAGGGCACTGGACTCCCACATGGCTAACCCTGGTTCGAGTCCTGGACCTGGTGGCTTGTTTTTATTTATTTTATTTTATTTTCACTGCTCCCCTGCCCTCGCTCTCTCTGTCCCTCTCTAGTCAAATTAAAATAAATAAATAAACAAAGTGAACTAAAATAATTCTTAAATACCGTGTATAGATAACGCTTACTATTGTGTGACACATAATAGTTATAACCTTGTAACTATTTTAAGCTAAAATAGTCATATATAAAAAATTGTTATAAGTGTAAAACAATCAGTGTAGATGTTTGGTAGGAAACTTAGTTTAGTCCTTAGAATAAGGACTGGCTGGAAAAGAAAAAAGGCAGGAAAATAGACACATTTCTGTTTGGGCCAAAATGGGGGAATTACAGAAAAGACAACGCTCTCTTTGAGCAATTCTAATTAAGCATTTGGTCAAGGACAGAGGAATTCTGTGAAAGGTGTAGTTCTTGTTCCCATCTTTTGGGTAGTGCTGGGTTTACCGTACCGTGGCTCCACACCAGCCTTAGATTTATGATACTGTCCACCTCTTCTAGTTCAAATAAACCCTCTTTTAAGAGAAGGGTGTGCACATGGCTCCATCGTACCCATTGCATTGTATTGGCTTTTTCTATGTAAAAATGCATCATGACTTTCCTGACAACCTAATAAGTTCTAAAATTTGTTATAATCCTCCATGCCTTTGGGGATAATGACATCTTTTGATATTGATTACTATCACCCAGAGGCCTGTATTTATGCATCTTCCTAACTATTAGAGAAACTTTGAGCAGGATCTCTATAGCTTTGTTTTCCTTTTGCTTTCTCCTGCTACCACATTTTCCTGTAAAGCACATTCACAATAGTTCCAGTAATTTCCTAGGGGATTTGATGTGGCTAAATCATCGTTCTTTTTTTGGTGCTCAGTCTCTCTTTGGCTCTCATGGAATGTCTGCGTTTGCCCTCTGGGTGTGTAAAGGCCACGTTTTCTAGGCCCTGCATTCTTTCTAATTATAGAAGTGACATAAGGAAATCTAAAAGTATGTATTAAGTGGAGAACAGTCATAAAGGGGAGAGTCTAGAGCAGACAGATGTCAAAAGACTTCATTGAGTCTTTAAGAGAATTAATGCATGACTTATCTGGGGCTTACAGGTACTGACTTAAGGAGTAATTGAGCAATTGATATATGCAAAATGAAAAAAGAAACCGGATGTGTTTGGACAAAAAACTAATAGGACCAAAATCATGAGGGGGCAAATGATCATCAACATACTATTCACATTAGTGTATTCATGAGGATTCAGGAAAGGGCATACTCCCTGAAAATAATAAAAATAATAGTGATAATAAAAACTCCATGGAAACGTTAAAATCTATAAAAAATTATAATGATTAATACTGAGTGAAGAGAGGCATTAGAAACAGTCAATAACAACATGTTTGTGTTTGAGGTCTGGGTGGTGGAGCGGCAGTAAAATTCAACATAAAGTTGAGAAAAAGATGTCCACATAGCAGAGTGGGCAAAGAGCAAGGCCTCTGGGATTGGCAAAGTGGACGTTGTTAAAGATATAAGGGAGGGGGAGACTGGCAGGTGGCAGGGTGGTTAGGGATGTTAGACTCCCACAGGGCTGACCACAGTTCAAGTCCTGGACCTGGCAGCTTGCTTTCTCACTTTCTTTCTCTCTCTCTCTTATGCTGTCTGTTTCTGGTCAAATGAAAATAAATAAGTAAATAAAGTAATAATTAAAAACAGATAAAAGGAAGGGAATTTGCACGAAGAAAACAATAATGTGGGAATTTGAGAAAGCCAAAATCGGGAATAAACAAGCAACGACACAATAATTGTAAGGACTTCCTCTATATTGCCTTTCTATATTTATTTATTTATTTTCCTTTGGGTTTTCTAACTTAGATGACGGTGTGACCATGCTGCGTCAATGATCAAAATAAAGAATGACCAGTGAAGTGTCGCCCTCAAATTATAATGTTTATTTTGTGCATTTTTATTTTTAATTAAGTTATTTCATCAGTGAGAGAGACAAAGATCAAGAGGCAGAGAGACAACACCCCTGACAGGGACTTGACTCCATAATCCACTCCCAGCTTCAGTCAGCCCTCGGTCATAGGTGCGTATATGCCTGGCCTAATTGGGGAGTACTCGGGATGTGAACTCAGAATCTTTGTGTGTAAGTCATTCTTGTAGAGCATTGTGTTTTACTGCTATGCTACCATCTGACCCCAAATAGTAGTGTGTTATTTTTATCTATTTATTTATTTAGAGATTTTTGGTATAGGGCACATACTCTTGCTAGAGAGATAGAGAGAGACAGAGAGACAGAAAGCAAGAAATCACTCCCCCCACCCCCGGGGGGATGGCCATGTTGTAGTCCCTTCTCTTCTTGGGATTTCGGGCACATATCCACACACGCCCAGTGTGTTGCCGAGTCTGGGACTTGAACCATGGTTGGCCATGTGGGAGTCCAATGACACAACCATTACACCACCTGCTGGTCCCAATAGTAGTGTTTATAGTGGAAGGTCAGAATCCTTCCTGTATTAAATAAGAAAATGCATGTAAAGTACTTAAACAGTACATGGCCCATGATAGATACTCAACAGTACCGAGTCCCAGTGCACAATTTTCTTTGAAGACTGATGAAAGCATTAGGACGACATCAGGAATTGTCTGGAATAGTTTGTGATGGAGATAAACACCGTGCCTTTGCTCAGGGATATTTGAGATCCTTTGGCAAAAATTATCTTTTTCAGACAGAGGGATAGAGTTGGAAATTGTCCCAAAAAAAGGTCCACTCTGTAGCCTGGGGTTCTATCTATCCTAGCTGAAAATTGGGAGGGTGAGGCCATTCCCTGTGCATCTCAGTGAAGGTCCCAGGAGATCTTTGTCCATGGCTGTCATAAAGGAAGTATTCCTTGGCGTAGGAAACATCTGGGGCCACGTTAAGTATTGATTCAGCTCCTGCACAGTGATGAGAAAGAAGGACTCCTTTATGTCTGTTGTGACATTATACAGAGCGAGTGGTTCTCAGCCTGTGGTGCGTGGAGCCCTAGGAGGGATCTAGCTGAGATGTTTTCTGAAGGTCTGTGAAGTCCAAGTGGTTTTCATGATGTTACTAAGATGTTATTTACCGTTTCAGTCTCATTTTGCATGAGTGTACAGTGGAATTTTCTCAAGGCTACATGATGTGTGATTTTGCAGCAGAGGGAAGGCAGCAGCAGAGAGGTTAATCCAGGCATCATCTCTTAAGCCAAACATGAAAGAGATTTGCCAAAATATAAAGCAATGCTATCCGCTCATTAATCTTTCTAACTATATTAGAAAATATAGTTATTTTTAATAAAATATACTATGGCAGTATATGAGTTTACCGTTATTTATAAATAAATGAATAACTAATTATGATTTTCTGTTTAATTTCAAATAGTTAAATCTCGATAAATATCACCCGTTTAAACAAAAGGCTTTTTGGGATCCTTGATTTGTTTTTTCCCCTCCGAGAGATTTTTTGCTATAGGTCATGTACACTCACTGGAGAGATAGAAAGAGACAGAGAAACAGAAAGTGAGAAATCACTCCTCTGGAGGGATGACCATGCAATAATCCCTTCTCCTTCATTCTCCTCTTGAGATTTTGGACATGCACACACATGCGCCCTGCATGAGCCTTAAACCACCAGGTCTGGGACTTGAACTGTGGTTGACTATGTGGGAGTCCAGTGATGTAACCATTAGACCATCTGCTGGTCCCGAAAATGTTTAAAAATATAAACAGATACTGAGATCAGAAAGTTCAAGAACCTATGATGTAGAAGAGAGCCAAGAGATAATATAGTCAAGAGACCTAGAATTTCTTTTCCTTTCTTTTTTCTTTGTTTTTCCTTTTTTCCCTCCTTCCTTCCTTCCTTCTTCTTTTCTTTCTTTCATTGCTGGAGGGTGTGTGCATTTGCCAGAGTGAGGTAGAGACAGAGAGAATAGGAGAGGAAGACATCTTCCCCTAATGGAGCATGGCCATGCCTCAGTCCTCCAGTTTTCCTTTCCCGTTAGGATTTTGGACATGCATGCACATGTGCTTTTCTGGCCACTGAGGTTGGGATTTGACCTGTGCTGTCCGCCATGTGGGATCTGTCTCCCTCAACCATCAGATCACAGACCTGGCTCTAGAGATACAGAATTTCTAATGACCACTTAGCATTTAATAGGTTGTGTTATTGCGGCTACTTTATTCCAAACACATTCGAAGGAGAACAAATAAATTTTAAGAGCACTTTAAAGTTTTTCTGCCAACCTTTCAAGAAACATCAGGCACAATGCTGAATAATTAATGAAGAGAGAAAAACAGACAAATGTTTCTAAAGAATTCTAGCAGGAGAGAAATTGCTGTGAGAGGCATAAACGCTCATGCCTATGTATAGCATAGTCTTACATGGAGAAAGCTTGAATTTAACTAGGGCACTTAGGAACCTTCTAAACATTTCTTATCTTCTTTTTTAAAAAAGGGGGACCTTTTTCTGCAAATGCAGTCTAGGTAAATGCCTTATCAGCTTGCATTTCTATAATAAGGTACTATAGACAGGTGTGTGGCTTACAAACCACAGAAATTGATTTCTCAGTTTTGAAGCCTGGAAGTTCGAGACCAGGGTAGTAGCCTGGTCAGGGCTGAGGAGGGCCCTGTTCTGGGTTGCAGAGTGCTAGCTTCTCGTTAGATCCTCAAGTGGTGGAAAGAGAGCTCTAGCTTTCTGACCTCTTAAAAGGGCATTAATGCTGTTAGTGAGGGCTTAGTTCTCCTGACTTAATCACTTTCAAAGATCCCTGCTGTCTCCTAATGCTATTACATTGAGGGTTAGAAATTCAACATCTGGGGACCAGCAGATGACGAAATGGTTATGGTGCTGGACTCCCATGTAGTCCACTCTGGTTCAGCTCCCAGACCTGGTGGCTTAAAAGTCACACGGGGTGCATGTGCGTGCATGCCCAAGATCCTGAGAGGAGAATGGAGGAGAAGAGATTACAGCACGGCCATCCCCCCTGGGGGGTGATTTCTCACTTTCTGTCTCTCTGACTCTCTGGAGAGCACACATGTCCTACAGCAAAAATCACTCTTAAAAAAAAAAAAAGAGAAATTCAACATATAAATTTTGGGAAGACATAGACATTCAGTCCATCACACTAAATAAACTAATGCTTGGTTCATTTCCTTCATCAATGTCTTTTTTTTTTTAAGAGATATTTTTGCTATAGGGTTCATGCACTTACCAGAGAGACAGAGAGAGAGAGACAGAAAACAAAAAATAACCCCCCAGGGAGGATGGCCATACTGCAATCCCTTTTCTCCATTCTCCTCTCAGACTCTTGGGCACGCACGCACATGTGCCCAGCATGAGTTTAAGTCACCAGGTCTGGGACTCGAACCGTGGTCGACTATGTGGGAGCCCAGCATAACCATGACATAACCATTACACCATCTGCTGGTCCCCATCAATGTTTTTCTTTGTTATATGCACTGGCAAGAAAATTGTTATTTTAACTGATACGAGGAGGAAAGCGTTACTCCAATGCCAAGCCAACTGCAGTAATTGTTTAGAAACGAACTCGGATTCTCCCAGTAGTGGCGATTGGTTTCGGCGCGGATGGGTAGCATGTCTAACTGAGCCTGCTACCAGCATGCATTAGTGCTGTGATTCATCTTTGTGAGTCATGATTAACAACACGACCTCTTTGTTCCTGTTTAGTTTTTGAGAACTGGGCCACAATAGGTGATATGTTCCAGTCGTATCATTAAGATTCAAGAGTTGCTTCAAAGGCGGGTCCTTGGACTAACATTTCATTAATTGCCCACGTAGTTTTCAATCAGTAGCTAACCTCTAATTATTCAGAAAGTGCCTCCCTGAGTATACGCTCCTTAAAATAACATTGATCATTGTTTTCATATTGCCAAAGGGATACGTATTCATGGTAGAAAGGAGAGACTATGGAGAAGCAGAAGGAATTCAATAAAAGTCACAGGGCAGATTTTCTCAGGAAGATGACCCTCTAAGCATCTTGGTAAGTATTTTTCCTTCTCTTTTGCTATGTACATATACACGTAGTTTTTCTTTTGCAAAAACAGCATCATGCTGTACATACTGTTTTGTAAATCGCTCTTTTCTCCTCGCTGTATTCCATACACATCTTCTTTGAAGTAAGTGTGCATCTTATGCGTACTCACAGGCTTGGAAATTCCACAGATACTTTTACTGCTATTCTTTTTAGACTACGGGAATGTGTCACGGTGACTTGAAGGTTATAGCACTCTGGGTTCTTGGTTGCAAATAGTGGAAAATGGTTCTGGCACAATTTCACAGAAAAAAGAGTGTATTGAAGTATTGGCAGCTCCCCGGCTGGAGAAGAGGGGGTCAGACAAACTCGGAAAATGGAGAACAAATGCCCACTACAGTGGTGCACTGGGATTTTCTACCTAATTATATGCACACTTAAAAATTCGTCCTATCTGTTTCACTCTGCAGGTTCTATTCCTCTCACTCAGAGCTAAGTGAACGTGGATATGGGCTGGCGGCCAACATGGTAAAAGATTAACAACGCAGACACTGATATAAATCAGAAAGACTCCTGCAGTTCAGAATCAAAGGGGTTATGATATAATGAGATCAGCATACCAGAGATCCCTCAGCTTTTCGCACTGAGTCACATGGCCGGCGGGCAGGTTTGCTTTCTTCTCTTATTGCTCTTTACAGAACACATTTTTTTTGTTGTTGTTGTTATTTACTTGAGTGATGGGAATGACCGCAGTGGGCTGCCTTGAGAATTGTTAATGTTGGCTGGAAACAAGGGCTGGGTGACCTGCATGTGAATCCAGTCTGTGTGGCGTGGAACCACAGAGGGGGCAATCCCAGGAGCTGAAGGACTCCTGAGGGTTTAGGGCTGTGCCATGTTACGCAAATCAAGTCCTTTCCTCCGCCTCGCCCCCTCCGAAATTGCTAAGTCTGAGACCATGTGCTATTCTACCCGATATAACAGCTTGAAAGCAGGCCATTTGATGATAGATAGGATGGATTCTTGGGGATAGGTGAGAAAATATGCCATTTTGAAGCGCCGTCTTCTACTAAAATCATTGCATAATGGCATTTGGCAGCATTAAACATGACATGAGAAGAAATAGTGCTTCGAGAATAGACTTGCTCTCTGCTTTCTTTAGCAGGCTGAAGTGTTCTTCCAGAGAAGTGTACTCATGGCCAATGCAGCAAGAGAGCTCTAGCCGCTGGGACGGGCTGCCCCGCATGCAGAGCTGGGCTCTCAGCGATCACAAATAGTACTATTATTCTCCCTCCGCCTCGTTCCTTTACCCCTGCCCCCCCAAAGGGAAAAGCCCTTAGTGACTCTTAATTATTTTTTTCACTTTGTAGAGAAAGATTTTTGTTCTAGGGCATGTACACTCGACAGAGAGAGATGGAAAGTGAGAAATCGCCCCCCCAGGAGGATGGCCATGCTGCAATCCCCTCTCTTCCATTCTCCCCTCAGGATTTTGGACACGCACACACACACACACATACATGTACCCGGCATGAGTTTTAAGCCCCTGGGTCTGGGATTCAAACCACGGTCGACTATGTGGGAATCCAGCAACGTAACCATTATGCCATCTGCTGGTCCCAGAGATGCTTAATTCTTCAAGTGGGAAGCTATGTTGCTTTTAGCTTCTTAGAGGTGAAGGGCTCAGGAAAAGGCTGCTAAGTGCCCAACCTCCTCTCCATACATTCAAGCTGGGACGTTAGAAGACAAAGCCATGCCAGCTCTGTCCCCTCTCTGCCAATCACTGCCCATTGGCTGTGTTGAACTTCGCGTAGAAGTTTTGCATCAAACTCGCGTTTATGGTTGCCTTTCATGGGTCTTTGGCTCCCAAGTCCGTGGCTGGCTTCTGCACATACCTGAACCTTCTGTGCTTGTTTTCCATGGATATGGAGAACGAATGCGCAGTTGTGTAGAGCGTTTTCCTCATGGCATTGGTCACAGTTAGCCCAGTGTCTGTTCATCTGTATGATTCTAACAATGTTCTATAACTCAACCAAAAAGGGAAGTTGAGAAATCAGTGCCCCAGTCTACACAGCTTTCTCCCTCTCTTTTTAAGAGTTTGCTGAAGAGTGTATACATGAGACCAAAAGAGCCAGAGAGGGAGAAAGCACCCTTCCTTGGGGCATGGTCATGCTACAATCCTTTCTCCTCTACTTCTCCATTCTACCAGGATTCAGGGCATGCACACACATGTGCTCTACATGTTTTTCAAGCCACTAGGGCCAAGATTTGAACCATGGTTGGCCATGTGGGAGCTGGTTCCCTTAACCACTGGGCCATAGGACTATTCAGTGACTTTCTTTTTAATTCTTCTGTTTTCTCAGAAAAGAAGGACTTCAAAGAGTTGGTAATAAATGGTATGATGGTTAATTTTAGGTGTTAACTCTACTGGATAAAGAATTACCTGAAAGCATTGGCAAAGGGTTATTTCCAGGTGTGCCTATGAGAATGTTTTTCAGAGGACATTTGGCATGTGTATGTTCTGTTGTTTTTATTACATGTATATATTCATGTAACTACCACCACAGTGGAAGTCATATATGTCCAAAAAAAGTTGGGATTATTCCATATAATCTGCTCTGTAGCTTTTTTTCCATGAAATAATATATTGTATTGAGAGCATTTTGATACAAGTAATATCTCCCCTACAGTGATAGCATTTTTTAACTTTAGTATACAGACATAGTTCTTCACGTGTGCATCTTAGATAATTTCTTTAAAGTTATAAAAAATAGATATTCAATGGTTAGGTATATTTTAATAATATTGCTGTAAACTACTTAATCACCCCTTCATTTATACTCATGTGAGCTGAAACTAATGATATTCATTAACCGGTGACTTGGCCAACGTGGGTAATGAAAATGATCATTACTTATGTGATAGATGAAAGGCGTTATTTTATTGCGTTTTAATTTGTATACCTCTAATTCCCAGTAAGATCGAGTACTTATGTTTTTGGGACATTTTTAAGTCGTTCTTGTAATTATCTTTCCTATAACTTAGCCAGATTTTTCTATGGGGGATTTTTCCCCCTCTGTTTATGTGTAGGTGTCCTGTAAGGGGGGAGGGTAGTATCCCACTGGTCCACAGGTAATAACATCTTTCTTATGCTTGATTCTGTTTGTTGTTGGGTTATTAATTTTGTACATAATTATTTTGCTATATGGAAGTTAAGAATTTTTGTGTTATCAAAACTACCCATCTTTTAAAAGTAGTGTCTACCTTTGGAGAGTATTTTTCCGCACAGCAACAATTAAATTATATTTTCGTTTTATCCTGTTAGGATTTCTTTCATCAGACTCTTTAACCCATCTGCCATCTCATTTAGTGTCGTTTCTAAGGTAAGCATCTAATTGGAATTTTCTTCTGTATTGTTAGCTATCTTGGCAACAACTGTTTAAAATAAATGTACAAAGTAAATGTTTAAAAATAAATGTAAAAAGAAATCAAATATATGTTCAATTTGTCATATATTAAAATCCTATGTGTACTGTAGAAAGCATAGGAAAAGGGGCGTGGTGGCACCCGCCCTATGGAAAGGATAGAAAAAGGATTCGAATTCATATCCATTCATCTGTTTATTCATTCATTCATTTTCTTATCGATTCATCTATTCATTGATCCTATGCATATTTATTTAGTGCCTACTACATGCTTTAGATGAAGTGGTTAAACTAATGCACAAGATGGACAAGGTACCTGTCCTCAGAGGACTTGGTCTCTTTCAGGATGAGTCGGTGAAGGGAAGGAGGTTGCAGCAGGAAAGCTGGGAGGTTGAGGCCTGTAGGTAGAACTGTGAGAGGGACAGTAAGACCGATCCCCATGGCCTGACACCGCCGTCCAGTCACCTGCAGCTCCTGCCTAGGTTATTGCAATGACGTGCCAGCTCGGCTCCTTGATCCAACTCTTGCTTTCCGTTAGTCTGTCCGTGCTGCAGCCAGAGCAACCCTCGAATATCCCAGGTCAGATCGCATCATTCCTCTGCTCAAAACCTTCCCCCAGCTCCTTCTTCACTGCCTATTGCTGGCTGATGAATTGCTGCCAGCTACCGGCTTAAAACTGTGAGCCATCTCCCAGTTTCAGTGGGTCAGGAGTTGGAGATAACTGGGGCTGCTTAGAGTCTAGATCCACGACGCCCCATGTCAGTGAGATAAGCCAGCAGAGGCCATCGGAGCCCCAGAGGTTCCACTTAATCCCTTCTCTGCCCTTCATACCTCTCTGACCGCAGTTCCACCACCTTCTCTGTCCCTCCATTGCAGCCTGGTTGCCCCTTGAGTGGGGATTGGAGTTAGGACATTTGAACTGAATTCTGGATGATAGGAGGGCTCCTCTAACAAGATCTGGAAATAGATCACTTCAGGCAAACACTTAACAAAAAAACCTAGATTTTATATAAAAGCTCTTCTTTTTTTAAGAGAGATTTTTGCTATAGGGCCTGTGCACTTGCTGGAGAAAGAGAGAGAGAGA